AGGATCTTCCCTGCATAGCCCGTTCTGGCATTGGCACCTGCTGTGCTCTGGGTCTGTATGATCACAACCTGGCTGTTTCCCTGCTTGTCCATCCTCCTGTCAGGCTGCCTTGTGCCTGAGAAATAGAAGTTGTTCTTCCCACTTTGCCACTGCTAAAATTGCTAGGGATTCTCAGCATGAGGTCTCGGAGGCAGAATTCTGGACTTCCCTCAGGTACTTGAGATCAGAATACCCATCAAGAGATATGAATGTTGGAGGTCTAGATTTATCTAGACAAGAGCCACAGTTGTATGCTGTAAAAATATGTGAGAAGCTAAAATCCTTAAGTGAGGAGAGTTGAGCTGGTTGATTTATTATCAATTTGGGTGCATTTCAGCAGAGTAAACTGCAAAGGGATGGGGTAAGGGAGAAATGTACTGGTAAGTCACACTGTTCTATGGATACACTGGAAGCCAGGGAGAAGTTAAAACCAGCAACAAGGGGAGTTTGGGATTGGAAATTGAGGTGAAACTTTCCTGCATTCTTCATGTCAAACGAGTGGAAGAGGGTTGTGGGAGGCTTCACGTGGGCAAGCTGCTCTGGAAAGACAACAAGCAGAGGGAGAGGAAAAGCAAGGGGTGCTCTGGTCTCCTGAGGGGGAAGGAGCTGTGGCATAGCAGGAAGAGGTTCCTGGCGACTGGAGATGGAGCTGAGGGAGGGGATGGCAAGACAGGACAGGAAGTGACTAAAATACTGTGGTGTGTGTTGGTTTCACTCCTTAAATACATGAGGTTCTTTCAGCAAAAGGACGGCTTGTTCTTTTTTTCAAATGTGACCTTGTACTCGTTCTTCCCTCAAAAAAACCTTACAGGAGAGGAGTTTTCTGGCTCTCTTCAGCTGACTGTCAGCTCCTTTGCTGTTAGAGGGAGCTACATTCCATGGAGGCAGCACTTGCTGAAGGAAACAGGTTTTCAGTGGAAGGTTTTGGAGAGTGCCACTGTGGAGCTTCCTGAGGTGCTTTCCCTGGAATCCTTGGGCAAACGAGAATGCAGGTGAAAGAGTCAGAATAGAAGGGATAGCTGTCAGCAGGATTAATATTCTTGCTTCCTATTTCTTCCATTAATTGAATGGTACCCAGGAGGGCCAGAAAGGAATGGTGAAGGACAGCTGTCTTAGGTGGGAATTGTTAGCTGTCTGGTCTTGGAGGATGAATAAACTGCCTTTATCTTGACCCTGTCTGACACAGAGAGAAAAGGTTTGGGCCACTTGTCAGCTCTTCCTTAGTAAAAGTCTCAGCAGCATGAAAAGTGCCTGAATCCTAAGAGAAAGCTGGGAAAACAAAGTGATATTTAAATATTGCTGCTTAACACTGAATGTTGAGGTGGCCTGACAGATATTGTAGTGTGCCTGCCTCTGGTGCCCTTGCTTCTCTGGAGCTGAACTTCACCAGAATATTGTCACAGGTGGCAGTTTTGGGGACATCTGCTGATCTCATTTTGGGAAGCTGTGTGTCCCTGGCTGAACTGGTTGATACTGGAAGGGCTCCCAGTAGTGGAGTCACTCCCAGGAAGAAGCAGTTCTAGTCTAAGAGTCCAGGACTGACTTGCTGGTGTTCTCTGGATGGGTTGTAGGAATGTGCTGGGAAGGGATACTCAGCCAAGCCTGTCCCTAGCACAGGCTGTGGGACAGCAGTAGCCAGCTCTTCTGGGAAGAGGTCAAACTTCGTGCTGTCAGGATTTGCACAGCTCTGTGTGTGTAATAGTGGGGAGGCAAGGTTGGCATTAGCTTGTCATTGCTTTGCAGGTGTCACCTGTAGACAGTTATTTATCCAGGCAGCAATTCCCTATGTGGCACGTGGGAGAAGAGAGTGGAGCATCCGCTGGGCACATCTTGTACACATGTCCCTGTACAGAGAGCCAATTTGGGGACACGAGAACTGTGGTTTGTGTCACTGTGCTGTGAGGAAGCTGCACACTCCAGGAGGGGAAAACTCCCGCAGATGCTGCCTCTCCCATAATGCATGCCTGGAAGCACAGAAGCCTTTCCTTCCTCCTGCCTGCTCTGGGGCCCTGAAATATTGTTTTTCCCCACCCTCCCAAGACAACAATGACATGAAAGCCGTATGGCCCCAGCCGGGTCTGATGGGATGGGAGCTGTTTGCATTGTGCTTTTGGGTCCTCAGCCAGGCTGGGATCCCACTCTCCTCCATGCTGGGCCAATTAGGAAGCCAGACTATTCCCTGCCCACTGGGAGCAGGCAAAGCTGATCTGCCTGGGAGCTGGAGGGGGTTTGTGCCAGATGCTTTGCCAATGACAGGAGCAATAGACTTTGGAATTTGCTCGGCTGGAGGACACAATCCCCTTCCTTCTGTGTTTTGCATCCCTGTTTCCTCATTGCAAAGCGATTCAATTTTAAGGTGTTCCTGCCTGTTTCCTGGTGTTTGTACTTCTGTGGTGTGGCTGCATTATCGTGGAGTTGAAGGTTCCAACCTGTTTGCTTTGAAGGCTGTGCTGTGGAGGAGATCTGGGAAAACATTTCCCTGATCCCACAGTGCATCTCCAGCTTCCATCCATGTCACCAATAGGATCTGAACCAGGCCCAGCCTGACATGGTCATATTGCTGTTGAATAAGCTGCTCTACCCAATCCAGAGCCTGGCTTGGTGCCACTTCCAGGATGACAGACAATGCCTGGTCATTGTGTCTGTGGCTGGAGCTGCATTCCAGCCCAGATATCCCAAGGTTCATCCTCAAATGGGACTCACCTGAGTTCCAGCCCAGTGCAGTAACTCCTGCTCCTAGTCAAGTGTAGCCATAGGAGTCAAATATAATCTATTAAAGGATTGGTTTGGACATAGCCTTTTCTTGCCAGACTTTCCATGCCAAACCTTTTCCCTCAAAAAGGTGAGGTTTTGAATCCAGCAAAGGCAAAAGAGCTGCTTTTCCCCCTAAAAGTAGGTCTCTGGAGTAAGGGAGCCAGTCAGAAAGGAGCCTGGTCCTGCAGTGAGCCACAACCCACCTGCTCTGAAAGCAGGTGAGAGAGACCATGCACTGCAGAATCCTCATCTTCATTGTGCACGTCCTCTGATAAATGGCAGAGATCTGCCTGCTGGGATCTGTAGTCCTAGGCTTGCCTTGGATTGGGAAAAGTGAAACATTGGTCATGCTGGAAGGTGATTCACATCCTTGCCTGGCATAGGTGTGCCTTGAACTTCCCTGGTGTGGTTTAGTAAGGAATAGGATGAAATGGGTTTTCCCCAAAATACTGGGTTCTTCAGGAAAAGCTGAGTGTGAGATTGGCTCATCCTAAATCCTGCACAGGGCTGAGTTCTCTCTGCTCCATGCCCTCATTTTGGAGCTGAGTACCACACAGGCTTAATCAATTCTGTGATTTTTAAGAAAAAGTGCTTTATGAGGTGGGCTAATCATCCATCGTAACAGTCATAACACCGCTGTGTTTCCAAGTCCTGATGCATCCCCTTGGAAGAGTCAGTCTCAGTTTAAAGGCAGAGTGAGCGTTAGGAAGTTCCAGTTTTTGGTGTGTACAGCCCAACCTTAGCAGTGTGAAATTCCAAGTCTTCCCAAGGAGTAGGTCACTTTTGCTCGTGCCACCCCCAGATATCCGTGCTTTTAAAATGCAATTTCCTGCCTTTATACAAGTGTCTCTGTAAAAACCTGTAAGTAAAGTGAGGTTTTGTGTTGTTAAAAATGGGGAGATCCCACTCAACTCTAGTGGACTGCTTAAGACAAAGGACAGCAGCTCTTTTCCAGATTGCTTAATCCTCTGGGCAATTGGACAGACGCTGGTTGCAGAATCCTGGAGACTCTGCCTGAAGTGCCCCATTCAGTAGCAGCCAATTGTCCCTGCCTGGCTGATGAGGTGTTTGTGTCCCATTCCGGCAGGTTTTTGGAAAGGGGGCTGGAAAGCTGAGTGCAGTCAATGGGCTGTTAACAATGGGTGAGTGACTCTGTCTTGATGGCAGGGGAACTCCTTGTACATCCATCAGCCTGCTTGAAACTGGTAGTTAAAATTAAATGCTGGGGGGGTGGGGGAAAAGCCTTTTTTTGTGTGTGTCTCTACATGCCCCTGCTCTGGTTCGGTTAATTAATTTTAAAAAATTATTTAAAGCGGTGCTTCTGTATGAGGGAGTTATTCCTCCTCCAGTGAGGTTGTCACAGGCTGGTTCTAGTGGTGTTACTGGGGATGTGACACTCTCCCTCCCTACTGCAGGCAGGTGCCAGCAGCTGTGTCACCTCCTGCCCCATCCTGTCCCCGGCTGTCTGCTGGCCCAGCAGTTGGTGTGCACGCTTGATAATGGGAACATCCATAATTAGGGGAAGGAAGCTTGGCTAATTCAGAGCAGGTTTGCCTTTTATCTGAGGGGATTTAGGGAGCATTCCCACGAAGGGCTCTGCTCTCTGGCCAGGTGGCCAACAGCTGGGGACAGTAATTTCTTCCAGATCCAACAATGTCAGAAGAGGATGTCTGTCAGGAATCCCTGTACAGATGTGCTTACGAGACCCTCTAAGAAAAGTATTCCTTCTACTCTGCTATTCTTCCCCACACAAAGAAGGGAATAAATCACTTTTTGTGTACAGGCACAGCCAAAGATGAAAACTTGAGAATATTTTCCTTGTCATTGGTGTTCCGGCAGAGATTTAAAATGACAAGTGTCTTTACCTCCAGTGCAGTAAAATACTGATGCACCTGTAAAAGTGGGGAACTGATTTTTTGTTCTTTGCCTCAGTTACACTAAACTCTCTCTCCCCTCCTCCTGCATTTCCTTGTTGGAATTCATTAGGAGTGATTATCTGTCTCTCCTACAGCCCAATTAGCACAAATCTATGTGGAGGAGGAGCAAAGCTGATGTTTCAGTGGTATGTTTTGGGTTTAGGACAGACCTGAGCGCCCCTAGAGGCCGTGGTTGAGCTGTGCTAGGTTGGCATGAGGCTCTGGCTGCTCCTTCTGGTCCATAGTTTACCTTACTGGTCCATAACTTTTTTCCTGGTGTTCTCCCATCAGCGTGGCACGATGAGGCGACGTTACGAGGACGATGGCATCTCCGACGATGAGATTGAAGGGAAGAGGACGTTTGACCTTGAGGAAAAGCTGTCCACCAACAAATTCAACTCCACTTTTGTGGTCTTCATGGAAGGCAAAGGTTTGTCTTGGGACTGCTGGAATTCAGGGAGTGTGTGTGGAGAATGGCATAGAAGCTGCTTGCTCCAGATAGCATGGAGCTGGTCTGCAGCTTGCTGGGACACATGGCAACCAGGAATGGGAGGGTTTGCCTGGGTCAGCACCTGTAATTGCAGCCACATGTCTACCAGATCCTTAATTCAAGGACTGTGTGGGATGTCTCCCTTTCCTTTCACCACACACACAGCTCTGTGGGATGGCTTTTCATCACACAGCCTCTCATGAGGATTTACTGGGAGGAAAGAGTACTTCGACAAGGCATCTCTTGCTTGGCTCTGAGCTTCCTAGGGAGGTGAGCACCAAAATCTAGGCTGTCCACCTGTCAGGAGCAGTCTGTTGGAGCAAACCCTCCTTAGGGGTCCTGTCTGAGGCTTGTCAGCAGCACACACCATGCTGCCTCTCAGAACTGCTGCAGAGGAGTTCCAGGATTTCTGAAATGGTTAGAAGAGTGAGGAGCAGGTTTGGACTAGAAATCTCCAGAGATCCTTTTCAACCTGAGCATCCTCTGAAGGAGTTTCTTCTGAACCTTCTGTCTTCTTGTCTCCCCACACCAGACTTCACAGTTGAGTACATCCAGCGAGGTGGCCTGAGGGACCCACTCATCTTCAGGAACTCGGATGGCCTGGGGATAAAGTAAGTGCTGGAAGCATGGAGTGGTGGGTGACTCTGGCCCAATTCCTTCATCTCTCCACACTGTGTGGGATCTGATCCTGGCTCTGCCAAGCTGGTTTGACTGTGTCATGTCCATGCTGTTCTTTATGTGCAGTGAGCAGAGAGAAATATCTCCCAGCTTGGTTATCCTGTTCTTCCTAGTCTGTTTGGACTGAAAAGGAGAGGACTGAATTGGCTGTAGGTGATCAGAATTCCACCAAATGTCTGGAAAGTCCCACTGCTGCTCTGATGCAACGTCTGGCTGGGTTTCTTTCCTAGTAACATAGGCATCTATTGCCAGAGAGTCAAACAATTTGTAGTATTTCTGGCATTTTCCAGAATTCCAGCCTGATTTTCTGAACTTCTAAGCTGTCTCTGCCTCTCTTGCTGCAGTACATCCATTGAGGTTGGCAGCTCCAAGTGTAAACTGAGTCAGTGTTTTTTGGGGTTGATTAGTACAAAGATTAGAGGAATAAATGACTCCTCACAAACTTTCAGATCCAGTTACCAGCAGCACTGCTCCGATCTCCCTCAGCTGGCTGTGAACAGATGGGTGACATCTCATCCAGTGCAGGATGTCCTGTGCTGGGGTGAATTGGGTAGGAGGTGGTGCCAGGCTCAGTTTAACTGCTGAGTGACTTGGGAGGGTAGAGATTTAATACTGGGGATTACAGTGTGGCTGAAACTGGGTTTCTCCTGAGCTTTTGGGTATTTCTCTGGGTCAAGAGCTGCTCAAATGGCTGCCAGCCCGCTCTGCCTGACAGCAGTGTTTGTACAGAGAAGGGTGCCAGTACAAACATTGGAATGGTTCTGCTGTGTCAGTGGAATATACTGCGTGTCCTGCTCTGGCCATGCCTTTGGATTGGGGTAACTCACAGGAGCAGCCTTTAAAACGAGAGCTGGGGTTGCTTAGTTCAAGGCCTCCTGGCTCCTTTGCTACAAGTCACTGTACAACAGCTCCGGAGATGATACATCCTATTCCCAAGCCTGCTTCCTGAGCCAGAAGTTTGTCCTAGTGTTTCACCCCAGTCCTGTGCCCCCAGAGTTCCTGTTCCATGGCTTTCTCCAACACCGAAGAAGCACAGGTGCCAATTCCTGGGTCATAGGATGTGCAGCCAGAAGCACTTGATTGTTGTTTTAGCCAGATGTTTGTCCCACAGGATGCCGGATCCAGACTTCAGCGTGAACGATGTGCGGCTGTGTGTGGGTAAGTGTCCAGAGCCACCCTGCACTCGCTTGTATGGTTGGGGTCTTTGAGGATCACACCTCCTGCAGTCCATGGTGCACAGGGACAGTTCAGTGATGTGTCTGTCGTGGCAGGGAGCCGACGGATGGTGGATGTGATGGATGTGAACACGCAGCGGGACATTGAGATGTCCATGGCGCAGTGGGCGCGCTACTACGAAACACCGGAGGAGGAGCGGGAGAAACTCTACAACGTCATCAGCCTGGAGTTCAGCCACACCAAACTGGAGAATCTGGTGCAGAGACCTGCTACGGTAAGCGGGGCTCTTCCTCCTGCAGGGATCTGCTTTCCCTGGAAATCTGGAGGCGAAGTGTAGTCTGGCATTAGGATGTGGTAAAAGAGGGACTGCTTGGAACATGCATGGGCTCATGGGGGATGTCAGTCTGGAAGATGCTGGAGCTGATCTCTCAGTGAAGCTGTGGTGACCATGGCCAAGTCCCTGGCATGTCACTCTGCAGAGAGATGGCCTGTTCATTGGCTGTCAGCAGTCAGAAACATGGAAGTCTGAACTTTGCGCAGTGCAGCAGGGAGGGTTCCTGATGCAAAATGCTGAAATCTCTGGGGGCAGATGAGGCCAAGATTGGAGGTGTGCTGGAAGAGGAGCAGAAAGCTGTTCTGTGGTGGGAAAATGAGCTGTGGGAGGTGGGATGGATGGGATGAACATCCCGAACTCCCTCTGCAGTCAGCAAAGTGGAAGTGGTAGCTGTGGGGCCAGTTACTTCGCTCTGTTAACTGCAGAGGGAACCTTGACATCTCTGGCTCTCCTGAAGCTTAGGGAGTTGAATCCCACCCTAGGAGTTGCTGTCTGGCATATTTTTAATGGAAGTCCAGAGCTGGCATCTGAACACCTGATCCTAAGTGCTTTATGTATAGGACTGTCCCAGTGGCACTGGGAAAGTTCCTGGGTGTGAGGAAGGACCAAAAAGGGATTTGCCAGCCTGGGGTAGCAAAAGGTCTGCTGTGCCCCTTTTATTTCTGCTCACATCTCCTACCTCTCTGCTGTAGGTGGATTTGATTGACTGGGTTGATAACATGTGGCCCAGGCACCTGAAGGAAAGTCAGACAGAGTCTACCAATGCCATCCTGGAGATGCAGTATCCAAAAGTGCAGAAGTAAGTGACTTCCTAAGCTGTGGCAGGCAGCAAACAATCTCTTGCAGGAAAACTGCCCAAGGGAGCAGCAGTTTGTACCAAGGGAAAGGGGGAGGAGAAGTCTCTCAGCTTATTTTTGTGGGTGACACTTGTAAGGCCACTGCAGACACTTACTTAATCCCCTTTAGCTGTGTGGAAGAGGGGCTGGGTGGCTTGTGACAGTGCTCTGAGTCATTGGCCTGGGTTTGGGGGACTCATTCCCTTGGAATGTCATATCTGCTCCAAAGTGTGGATCAGCATTCATTTTCACCTTCTCCTCATCTTGTTTTCCACCAGATACTGTTTGATGAGCGTCAAGGGCTGCTACACAGATTTCCACGTGGACTTTGGTGGCACTTCTGTGTGGTACCACATCCACCGAGGGGGAAAGGTAGGACAGTCCTTATTGGGACAGCTGTAGGTGCTTTAGAAAAGTGTCTGTTGGTCTGTTTTTGTGTAAATCCTTGAGGATGCAGGTCCCAGACAGCAAATTGAAGTCTTTCCACCCTAAACTTACCTATATTGCATGGAGCCAGACAGGTGCAAATCCCTAGTTCAGGTGTAGCTCTAACATGGTAAGTCTAACTCAGTAAATCTCCTTGTCACTCTAGTGGCTTTCCTGGGTTCTCTATATTTTGACATTGATGTGAATCATACCTTAAAAAGCATCCCCTCAGGTAGCTCAGGCTACCTGTAGCACTCTGTGTGTCAGACTGGGAAAGACCTTGCTTGTCCTCTCAAGGAGGGCAGCTGTCCAAGTCATTTTGCTGGGAAGTTCTCTGGGAGAGGGGCAAGGAAGAGATTCAGATGTTGGGAAGAAGCTATAGCTCTTCATTATGTGATGACTTACATAAGCATGTTGTCTTTATTTGCAGATCTTCTGGCTGATCCCTCCCACACCCCAGAACCTGGAGCTCTATGAAAACTGGCTTCTCTCAGGGAAGCAGGGAGACATCTTCCTTGGGGACAGAGTGTCAGAGTGCCAGCGCATCGAGCTCAAGCAGGGCTACACATTTGTCATCCCCTCAGGTACCCTCAGGGTGGGCAGGGGCATCCTGGTCTTGGCCAGGGTTGTGGCAACATTGAAGCTCCTGGGACACTGACAGGATTTAGCTCCTTCATGAGTCACTGGGAGAGGGAGATGTGATGTGGCTCTGTTCTCTTGCTTGCCACCTCCCAAAACATGCCTGTGATGGCATTGTGGTTCCAGCCCAAGTGTTAGGAAAGCTGTGGCTGGCTCACATCACATTTGATTAATTATTAAAAGAGGCTTTCCCAGATCCTGTCATGTTGACACATGGAGCAGTGTCGGCTCAGGAGAGGCTGGCCCAAGGCAGCTCCTCAGCTTCCTGGGTGTCTCGTGACAGCACTGCAGAGCTGTGGCTTACAGCAGGACTAGGAACAGAAAACACCAGGGATTGCACAACCCACTCATTTGAGTCCTGTTATCACAACTGACACCTCTTCTGAACTGAGTGGCTTTGCCTTAAGGAAACCCATGCTGGAATTCCCCAGATGTTGGACTTGGCTGGATTGCTTAGCCTTGGAGATAAGGACTGGAACTTTAGTTATTTTGAAGGTGTTTGAAGTGTTGGAACAGACTTGGGAAGGCTGTTTCCCTTGGTGCTAGGCCTAATGTGATTAGGAAACAATCTAGGATGACACCAGGGTGACAAAAAACTATGCAAGGTGGATCAGAAGGATTCTTTTAGCTCTGCTTTCTCCCCAAGGTTGGATCCATGCTGTGTACACTCCCATGGACACGCTGGTTTTTGGGGGCAACTTCTTACACAGCTTCAACATCCCTATGCAGCTTCGGATCTACAGCATTGAGGATCGCACACGGGTAAGGACCTGTGGGAGACCCGTGCTGGACACTGGGCCAGACGTGGTGAAGCATGTGTCATCTGAGAGCAGCAGTGGGAAGGAGGCCTGACAGATCCTCTTCCCTGTTTTGCAGGTCCCAAATAAATTTCGTTATCCCTTCTATTACGAGATGTGTTGGTACGTGCTGGAGCGCTACGTGTACTGCATCACCAGCCGCTCCCACCTGACCAAGGACTTCCAGAAGGAATCCCTGAGCATGGGTAAGTCCAGCCCTTAGTCCTTCCTCACCCCATCCAACTGGCTTCTTACACTCTCCTGCTGGGGCACTGGTTCAGGAGCATGGCAGGCAGGGAAGGGCTGGGTGGGTTGTTTTTTTATGAGCATCAAGTCACAACCAGACTTCTACTTCCTCCTTTGGCCCTGCAGCAGCTCAGGTTCTTTGCAGCTGTGAAACCAGCACACCACCAGTTCAGAGCCTTGCATGGAAGAGATGGGGGAAGTTGCAGTGACCACCACAGTGCTGTGGGCAGGAATTCTCTCTAGCTGGCCAGGGCCTTCTGCACACCAAGTTTAAAGGGCTGACACAGTTACTTGGAGGGCTCAGCGACCTCATGGTCATGAGTGAGTCCACGTCCTGTTTCTCGCACCATGATGGTCCTGAGGGATCAAGGTCCTGAGCCCTCAGCTGGAGATCCCAAGCCCTCCAAAGCAAAATGAGGTTGGACAGAGCTTTGAGCAACATGATGTAGTTTAGTGGAAGATGTCCAGGCCCATGGCACTGGGGTTGGACTAGATGACAGTCCAGATCCCCTCCAACCCAATTCCATGAAATTAAGTCTAGGACATGAAATTCAGTCTAGGGCATTTGCTATTTCTTCCTCTGGGACCTTTTCCCATATCTGGTGCCTTGCATTCCCACAAACAAACCAGGAATGGGAAGGGCGTTTAGCTGTTTTTTTGTCTGTTGCTCCAGCATCCCTCATAACTGCAGGGATCCCACTAAACACAGAACACCTCCTGTGATTGCTCTCCTTTCTCCATTATGGCAGATATGGAGCTGAGCTCCTCAGACTCGGTGAACATGGAAGAGGAGGAGGAAGAGGAGGATGATGAGGATGCAGCAGGGAAGGAATCCCGGCGCCCCATGACCAGGAGGTCCATTCTCACTAGCCCCATCGCCAATGGTGCCAATGTGGACTATGACGAACTGAGCAAGAGCTGCCGGAGCAGCCTGCCAGGTCTCAAGAAGACCCCATCTATAGACTCTTCTGACTCCAGCCGGGGCTCCCAAAATGGCCAGGTGTGGGACCCAAGTGGGGGCAGCCCCCGCAAGAGCAGGAAGGTGCACCTGACCCAGTTTGAGCTGGAGGGGCTGCGCTGCCTCGTGGACAAGCTGGAGTCGCTCCCTCTGCACAAGAAGTGTGTTCCTACCGGCATCGAGGATGAGGACGCCCTCATCGCTGACGTCAAGGTAGGCCTGAGCAAATGCAACGCGCTTCCCACCGGGAAACTGGGCTTCACTCTCACCTACCCCTGTCTCTGGAGCAGGATTGGTGTCCTCCTCTTCCTGTGTGTGAGGCTGATGTTACACCTGAGGTATAGCCCTGGGATTTGGGGTTGGGAAAGCACGAGGGTGGTTGGGCCGTGGCTGGGCCTCTTATGGCTGTCAGTGCAGGAGCACTCATTGCTGATGAAGTTCACTTCCAGTTTTGGCTGTAGACTCTGACAGTTGGAGTCTTTTCCTTGCCCCAGGTGGATTTGGCTTTGTTCTTTGAGTTGTTTGCCCAGGGTGTGATCAGGAGTTAGGAGAGTCAGTTATTTTGGGCTGGTGGCGGTTGTTTGGATTTTATTTGCTTTCACCTCTTGAGCTGACCAAATGAGCTTTGGTGCTTTAGCTGTTTCAGCACTGAAGTGGGAATGTCAGCTTCACTCTATCCCCAGAAATCCATTCTAGTCCCTAAAAAGTTATCTTCTGCTCCCTTCCTTGCTGTTGGTGATCTGTACCAGAGATTGCCTGTACCAAAGATGACATCCAGACACAGCTGTGCATGTGTCCTTGACTTTGCCATTGTTTTTATTTCTAAGTGCTGTCTTCTGACTTCTGTGAGTTGTTTGGGTAAATCCAGAGCTCTGCTGTGTTTGGAGCAGAGTGTGTGGCTCTGGGGTCCCAGGTTCTTGGCTGAAAGAATCTAGGTGCTGCTAGGGGCTGAATTTCTGGTTTTCTGTGGCTTTTCAGGCATCCTGTGTATGCTGTGACCTTTGAGAATGACACATGTTTCTGAGCCCTCTGTGGTGCTCTGGAGGAACCTGAGCTGTGGGCTCTGTTTAACTCTTGGACTGACAAAAGGAGGCTGGTGTTGGGCATTTTGAAGGCAGAGCCTTAAAGGTTGTTGGTGTTCAGTTTGAATTTGAGACCTGATCTAAGAATCTGTTCATGTTTTAGAGGTAGTAAAGGTGTGCCTGTGGTTTTGGTGTGACCCTTCCACCCCTGTGTCTGATTGTTCCTCACAGAGGACCTGCAGGTGACAGCCTTTGTAGTCTCAGACAACTTCCCTGAGGATTTGCTCCTCAAAGCTGGCTGTCCTTGGAGGTTTGGAAGTATCCTGAGCTGTAGGACTCCGTCCCTCAGGACTGACATCCTTAAGGCATCAAGATCCCTAGTCACAACCTGCAGTGGCTGGGGAAAGTGGACAAGTTTGTCCAACCACAGCAAACCTCTGCTTTCAAAATCCATTTTCCATAGAGGTGATAGAAGGGGCCAGTAGAGGTTGGCTTGTAGAGCCTGAGAAGGGCTTAAACATTTCTAGCTAAAACTTCTAACTGGGGCTGCCAATCTGCAGCAGGTACTTTTGCCCTTGTATCACCAGGGAAGGTTGTTGATGGAGCCAGGATCTGGCCAAGCTGGGAAAACTGCACTTTGGTTTGTGCTTCCCATGGTCAGAACGTGGTGTTTTCTCATCCATACTTGAAGGTCTGGCACCATGATCTGTCCATCCCATACCACCCTCTGCTATTCAGCATCCCTAGGCAGCAGGAAAATGCTGCCTTTTCCCACAGCCTGTTGTGTGGTGAGCAGGATTTCAGGGTGTCTGTCCGTTGGGTCACGTGGAGAAATGTGTATCCTGTCAGGAGTTCAGCCTGGAGCATCAGGGGATGTGACACTTTGGATGTGACAATGTTGTGCTTTCAGCTCTGTGGCAGAAATTGTCTGAAAATTCTGAGCATGGTGGGAGTCATTGGAAGGATCATTGACAAAGAGGGAATTTCTGAGAGGTCCTGTTGTCTTTTGACTGTTTCCATCCGTGCTTTCTGACCCCACTCTGTGGTGTGCTGATTTCCATGACTGGATTTGACAGGAGGATGGTCATGAGGCAGCTGACAGCATGACAGGCCCTGTAGCCTGGCATGAACAGGTTGTATCTGTGCTCTGCATGGAGCTGTTGGAGCACCAAGGATTGTGGAAACAAGAAAAACCTCTCCCAGAAGTGCTGATCCTGTCTACAGAACCTCATCTCAATCTCCGGTGGGGCATTGCACATCTACCTGACTGGGCAGTGAGCACAGAGAGAATTTGGTGAGGAGCTGGAATGGTATCCTCAGGGATAGGCAAGGAAGTTCAGGATGGCCTGTGAGCTGTGCCAGGAAGGTCTCTCATGGTGGGGTGGCAGCACTGGTCACGTTCCTGCCTGCGGGTCGAAGAGAGCCCGTGCCAAGGTCCTGAGGGTGTCACTGGTGGCACAGTTGGTGACAGTCTGGAGCCAGGTCGGCATGCGACTGGCTTCTTGGGAACACAAAGCTGGAGTTGCCTGCAGATGCTTTGGATCCATCAGAAGTGGGAGCAGCCGCTATTCCCCTGTGCTGTTCGGCTTTATTTCAGGAGTTTCCTCCATTTTAATTGCAGTGTGTTGCTGGGGGGCGTCTCGGGGGGGCTGTGATTGCTTGGGGACACCTTGATCACCCGGTATGGATCTGTCCCCCTCTAGCGGTTTGGTGCCTTTGGGAATGTGGCTGCTCCCAAACTTGGCTGGCGGGATGTTTGTCCCTCCAGGTCGGGAATATGAGGGTGCAGAGCCTGGGGGGAACTGCAAAGGGGGATGACCCTTGCCTACATTCCAAAGCCCCGCTCGCTTCAGCGGGGTCTCCCAGATCCCAGACCCGCCTCGGAGCAGACAAAAGAAAGGAGCCGGGGAGGCTGGGCCCGAGCGGGACGGGGTAAGGGCTCTCGGCCACCCTCTGCCCGGCCACGGGGAGCCCGGCCCCGGCCTCTCGGATTGCGGTGGCGGAGGGAGGGAGGGATCCCGGGGAGGCCGGTGGGCAGCGCCGCCCGGACCCTGCGCCAATCCCCGCCGTCCCGGCCCCTCCCGGCGCTGCAGCAGCGCGGCTCT